TCCATGTATATGTCTTTTTCGTTTTTATCAGTACCAGGGATCGAACTCAAGACTGCCTGCTTACAAGGCAGGCGCTTATGCCACTGAGCTAAATCCCCAGGCCCTACCGTGTTTTCTTGCAAACTATTTTCCAAAACAAACATACCATTTACATTCTCACCAATAATATATGAAGTTTCTAATTTATTTGCATCTTCACTAACAAAATTATAGCCATCTTGGTGTGAAGTTGTATGTCATTACGTTTTTTGTTTATGTGATTGTATAACTAAGGGCTTATAGAGAAAAAAGTAGTGGTTTAAAATGTTAGCTCTGGAGCCTGGCGTGGTGGCTGACACCTGTAATCCTAGCACTCAGGAGGCTGAGGTGGGAGGATCAGGCTGAGGTGGGAGTATCGTTGCAAGTTCTAGATCGGCCTGGGCTACAAAGTGAGCTCAAGGCCAGCCTGAACTGCTTAGAGACCCTGTCTCCAAAAAAAAAAAAAAAAGTTAGCTCTGTTTTTAAAAGTGTAGTACAGGGAGGCTGAGGTAGGAGGGTTGCTGTGAGTTTGAAGCCAGCTTGCTTCTTTACAAAGTGACCTCATCTCAAAAAAAAAATGTGTGTGTGTGTGTGTGTATATATATGTATTATAATCTTGCATAGATTAAGAAGCTAATGTGTATCAGAGATTCTTTTCTTCGAGCTACTGTTGATTTTTTTATTTTGTAACAAGGTCTCAGTTTGTAGTGCGGGCTGACCTTGAACTCATTATGTAGCCCAGACTGACCTCAGACTTGCAGCCATCTGCCTGCCTCAGCCTCCCGAGTGCTGAGTTACAGGCATGTGTCACCAGGCCCTTCTACCATTGGTTTCTTATAGGTACAAGAATCATTTTGGAAGAAAGTCTCAGTTAAGTAACTCCTTCCCTTTGGGTAAATGATTAAAGTACTCTGGCATCTTGCTGCTGCATCATCAGTAGGCTCAAGACTAGGAATAGTTTTGATGGCTCCAGGGTTTTTTGTGGGGCTATGTTGTATGGAGGAGCTCATAATACTACTTCGACAGGAAGGTAATCACTAGAAGAATTAATTGTAAAATATGAGCTTTGCTAGAGCAGGTTTGTCTAATAGAAATACAATGCAAGGCACATATATAATTTAAAGGTTTCTAGTGGCCACATTAAAAAATAAAATTAAGTCGAGCATGGTGGTGCGTACCTGTCAACCCAGCTATTTGAGGCTAAGGGAGGAGGATCTTAAGTGTGAACACAGCCTGGGCAATAATTTACTGAGACCCTGTCTCAACCAACCAACCAGCTGGGAATACAGCTTTGTGCGAAGGCTTTGATTTCAATCCTCAGTACTGCACCCCCCACCCAGCCCTGTGATAATAGTAGTAACAGATTTTGTTTCTTGAGACAGGCTCTCTTTTAAATCTTACCCCTTTGTATCAGCCTCCCAAATGCAATTCAGGTGGGTACCACCATACCCAGGCCAGTGATTTATTTAACTCAGTATACAAAAAACAAAAAAATAAAAAACCTCCCAGCTAGTACAGGGCATTGACCCCATGGCCTCATATGTGGTAGGCATGCACTTTACCATTCAGCTACATCCCCAAACTCTTTTTTAAACTTTAGATACAAGGTCTTGCTAAGTTGTCCAAGCTGAACTTAATTTGCCATCCTCCCCTCTCAGCCTTCTGAGTAGCTGGGGTATATGCCATCATACTGGTCAAAGTCTTCTGATTCAGACTAGTTGCCTTTCAGTGGGATCAGTGGTTACTTGTCAGCCACCATATTGAAAAGTGACGTTCTGGAAGATGTAAATGCTTGTGACCTAGACTGCTGTGTTCATGTGTACGACGATCTAAAGTATCTTTGGAAAAATAGATGCATACTTTATTAGTTTTACATTTCTGCTGCTTGAATTTAATTAAATTAATTTTTTTGGTCCCAGGAATCAGACTCAGGACCTTGTGCTTGCCTGTGCTGTGACACTCAGCTGTATCTCTGGCCCTGCTTTAACTTTATATATATTGTCAGCATGTTATAGTGTTTAGATGTTCCCCCAAAGCCTCATGCAGTCAATAGAGACAGCTGAGTCATTTGTGATTGGTTCATTGTCTAGCACTGGGATTGGTAGTGTGAGTACCCCTGGGTGCGTAACCAGCATACAATGTATGAGAGGGAAGGATGTGTGCTTTTCTTTTTTGCCACTGTGGCACCATGAACTGTTGCCCCTTAGCCATGCCACCCTGCCTTGGAGCCAGCTGAGGATGGGCTGAAACTTTCAAAAACTGTAAGCTAAAATAAACCTTTCCTTCCTCCATTTTTGGGCGTCAGGTATTTTGTCTTGGCAATGAGACAGAAGTAACCAAGAAGGAAGATTACTTAAGAGATAAGTAACCAAGACACAATGCCTTAAAAAAAAAAAAAAGAAACATAGAAAAGGATCTTTAGAGAATTACAGAGAAGCAGGCTTGCCCGCCCATCCTCCCCCTCTTTCTTTCTTTTTGTGGTATCAGAGATTGAACTCACAACTTTGCACTTGTCAGGCGGGTGCTTATATAGCTAAGCTAAATCCCTGGCCCGAGGCAAGCTGTTTATAGCTCAAATTTTTAATTGTGAGCAGAGGTTAGCAGAAGGAAGATCTCTTCATTCATTAAATTCAGGTTCTATAGTTCATAGTAAATAAAAAAAAATCTCTTGGAACTGTTAGCTTTTTTTTCATTGTTTTTGTGGCAGTACTGTGAGTTGAATACACACTGTGCATGCTAGACAAGCACTCTACCTCTGAGCTCTCTTCCCTAGCCCTGTTTGGTTCTTACTCTGATTGTTCCAGATGTTCAGGGTTTGCTTTGGCCTGTTCCTTATAAGTTCCTCATCAATTACTCATGCATACTATGCCATGAAACTTTTCTTTAGATGGGACTCTGATATTCAAACTATCTTTAGTGTTGCAAGACTCACATGGTAAATGTTAAACCTCTATACCTATTCAGTAGTACACACAACAGAAAACACTAAGGTATTAGTACTGCAGCAGCGATTTAAGATATACAGGTAACAAGAATGAACACTGAGGTATTAGGGTAAACTGATGACATAATGAATGAAACAATTGGCATTCTTTCAGAGGATTTACCTCATTATGGAAAAAGTGCTTTTTAATGCATAGTGTTATATTTGTGCTGCCATGTCACAAAAATAGGCTTGCCATGCCAGGTGTGGTGCAAGAATTCTGAGCTGCTCATAGAACTGCAGATAAGTACAACTACAAATAATACTGAAAAAAGTTTACCATCTGACCAGTGACTGGTACTTTTTTTTTTTTTTTTTTTTTTTTTTTTTTGTCTTTTTCGTTTTTATCGGTACCAGGGATCGAACTCACGACTGCCTGATTACAAGGCAGGCACTTATGCTGCTGAGCTAAATCCCCAGCCCCGTGACTGGTACTTTTAAGGCATTCAATTAGCTTATCCTCTGCTGTATTCTAATCTGTTTACATTGACAATCACATTCATTGTAATGCTTGCAGCAAGGCAGGCATATAACCAGTTGTTTTGGCTAACATAAATAGGAAGGCATTCCTTGTGCGGTACATAAAAGTGACCATATTAAAGAGTCTAGTGGCAGTCACCGACAGGCTGCTTAAGTGAATAGTATCACTTTCATTCTTTGCTTTGGAGTGGTCCAGTGGAAAGTGAAAAAACAAAAACGAAGCCTAATGCTATTCCAGGGAACTGAGCTGAAAGCCCCTCATGATCCAGATTGCAGTTAACTGATAACTTATCCTTCAGGTGAAACTACTACATTGCACCTCAATTTCTTTCCAAGTGTTGAATGGTCCTTAATGTCATCCAAGCCTGAATATTTCTGTTTAATACTTGTAAATTTCCTTTTAATGGCATCATTAGAGCAACCATGAGTCATCTTGCTTTATAACGGTGCACTTTCACAAGCCCAGAACATAAATACTAGGTAGTCTTCCTTCAGAGTCTTTCGTTTTGTAGGGGCATCATACAAAGTATATCAGCAGTTATTCAGAGGCAGCTTCACAAGAGATGTGCGGGGGTCTTCTACAGTATCACCAATGTCATCCTCCAAGATGTGCTGTTTTCTCTACAATTGTCTTTTGTCATCATAAACAGAAGAAACCAAGACACAATGCTTTCTTTTGCATTTTGATCTCCTTTTGTGATTTCTTTACTTTCATATCATTAAAAACTTTGACTTCATCATTCACTGTAACTCCAGATACCATAGCGCGCACACTGGATGGCTTGGGCTGAGTGGAACTGGTAGGAGGAGGAAGAGTGGCCCTAGACTTTTAAAGCTTTTTTTTTTTTTTTTTTTTTGGTACCAGGGGTCGAACTCAGACCTCACGCTTGCCAGGCAGGCGCTTATGCTGCTGAACTAAATCCTCGGCCCCTAAAGCTTTTTAATAGTATACCTCATGGGCTGGGGATTTAGCTTAGCTGCATAAGCATTTGCCTGGCAAGCGTAAGGTCATGAGTTTGGGGTGGGGGGTGTACCAAAAAAAAAAGTATACTTCATATCAGACTGCCTGGAAACTGAAGCAGTCCTGTTCCCAGGCTTGGTAGTAAAGGAGGTGGTTTTTCTTTTTTATTCTTTTTTTTTTTTTTTACTGAGAATCAAATATTTCTTGGCTTTTATGCTTCTGCTCAGGACTTGTTCAGTTTCTTGGATCTGTGGATATAGTTTACATCATTTGTATGAAATTTCAGCCATTATTTTTTTCTATACACCAATAATGGTCTAGGTGGGTGAGACAGACAACTTCATTCACAATAGCTTTTTTTTTTTTTTTTTTTAAATCATCAGTACCAGGGATTGAACTCACGACTGCGTTTACGCCTCTGGGCTAAATCCCCAGCCCTAAAAGGGAAGTTGCAATGCAAAGAGGTACACCCATCAGGAAGGACTGCATTGGCCAGGAATCGAACCTGGGTCTCCCACATGGGAGGCGAGAATTCTACCATTGAATCACCAATGCTCTCTAAAACAGTGGTTAGATGCCATGAAGTAGGTGGCAATGCCTTAACTGTATGTGTGTGGTCAGGCCCAAGGGCCTCTTCCATCCTTGTCAAGGGGGAGTGCTAACCTCTGCTTTCATACACACTATTTTTTTCAAATACACATTTACACATCCAACCTTCCTGGACCCTAGTACACCTATGTTAGATGACCTGATACAGTCTCATAGATTCCTGAGGTATGCTTCCCCCATCCCCAGTTTTGGCCCTATTTTGTGTTGCTATATCTTCAGATTCAGTGTTTTTCTTCTAGAGTCTAATGTATTATTCCCATCTAGTGTATTTTTCATTTGAGATACTTTTTAAAAATCACTGTTTCCGTCTTTTTGAAAAATTTCATTTCTCTTTCCATATTATGTTTGAATACACTTAAACGTTTTTAATGTCTGTTTTAATATCTTGTTCTAATTTCATTATTTTATGTAAGCCTGTTTATTTTTTCTTCTGGGCTGAGTCATCTTTTCCTACTTTGCATGCCTGGGCATTATGAATTTTATATTTTATATTGGTGGACATTGACTTAAGATAGTCAGATTTTATTCTTTTGACAGTTAATAACTTTTAGATTAGTTTGATCCTTGTGAAGATTTTTGTGGCAGGTCATAACTCTTCTGTTCTTGGACTTCCCAGTTTTAACCATGGTAAGGTGTGATCCCTATAGAGACTCTGTGGTTTGACTCTGATTTCTCTTTCTAACATATGGATCACAAACTGTGCCCAGTTTTTTGCTAGCTCTGTTGAATCTGTTGCTTTCTGGTAATTTGTTTTCTAATGTTGCAGGAGGTTTCTTTTTTGTGTACTTGGAAATCTAAGACTAGGGGAACCCCTCTGCAGATCTGCAGAGCTTCTTCCTCTCCAGTAGCACACTGTGCTACAAATTCTAGCTGCCTCAGCTCCACACAAACTCTGTTGTCTCAGTTTACTGAGATGTTTGGTTTTTGTTTCTATGTGGTAGCCTGCTTTCAGTTCCTTCCAGCTTTATTTTTTATTTATCTCTGCTTCTGTTTTTAAAAAAGTATTACTTTCCTTTTATTCTCAATTTGCAGCTGGGTATGGCGGTGTACACCTGTAATCCTAGCACTCCAAAGGATTGAAGCAGGAAGATCTCCATGAGTTCCAGGCCATATTGGGCTACATAGAGAATCTGCAGATATGTTCTTTTTTTTTAAATGTTTTAAATTTTTAACCGATAACAAAAGCTGAGCATGTTCAATACATGTATACATCTTGCAATGTTTAAATTACCATATTCATATCCTTTGTTTATAGTGAAAACTTTAAAAATTCTAGATTTTGTAACTTGAACAATCATTTTTAAGATGACAATATATATAACGTACCAACTAGCGATTTCTTAGTGTTAATTTTTTTGAATTCTGTATAATTCTACCTTTTTTCATTTTGTTTTTTCTTTAAATAGATAAAAATTTAAAATAAAAATTCTAGCTTTTTAAAATGTACAGTATATAATTGTTATCTATAGTCATTATACTGTGTAATAGTGTCCCACCTATGGAATTCCTTGAACTACAATCTTTTTTTTTTTTTACAATATATGTACCGAACATTGGTAATGAACACTTATTTTGAAAGTTCTACATTTAACCACTTTATTGGTTTTTTTTTTTTTTTTTTTTTTTTTTGTCATTTTGAGACAGAGTCCATTCAGCTCAGACTGGCCTTGAACTCCCTTTGTAGCCCAGGGTGGTCTCCAACTTCCCAAGTGCTGGGATTACAGGCATGCGCCACCACACCCTGCTCTAATGATGCTAATCTACTACCTGTCCACTACCAGGTTAGTTAAGTTGTAGGAACAACTCTTCCCTATGCATCCCCCCTCCCCCCAAAAAACTGGTTATCTAGTAAAGAAATTAACACAAGTATTCTAATACTTAAGAGTTAATACTTGTGTTAATTTCTTTACTGGGTTTTCCTGTGGGCAGTAGACCAAAGGTGATTTTATAAGAGAAAGTATGACAGTTTATGAGAAATTTGGCGTGGCTATGCTTTAATCACAAGCAGTGTGAAACCCTTCTAAATGTTATTAGTGGGAATAATATCCCTACTATAGGTGAATGCACTGTGTCAAAAAAGGTATTGATTTATTTTTGTTTACTCTTTTGAGACAAGGTCTGTATAGTTCATTCTGGCCTGGAACTCATAGTAATCCTCCTGCCTCAGCCTCCCAAATTCTGGGGTTATAGACATGTGCCACTACACCTGGCTGTTGATTTATGTCTGAAACCTTTCATTTAGCATTCTCACTGGAACCCTCCCATGGTTTAAACTGTTACTTTCCTTCCTTTCTCGCAAACATAACTGGAGAAATTGGCTGTCCTGCCAAGCATTCTACAAACTGCTGTTTACCAAGCTCCCATCCCGGCCCCAACCACCAGAACCTGTGACTTTCCCTTAACAGCCAACCAGTTAGCTCCCACTGGGAGGCCAAACTGCCCATGGCTCCCTGATCTTGGAAACTGTTGCTAGGTGCCGCTGTCCCTGGTGGAGATAATTAATAAAAACAAATTTCAAGATCTGAAGGTCTTGGTCTTCCACAGAAGAGTGCACAGTTCATTGGGTTCTTACTGTTTTTTTTTCCTTTTCTTTTTTTTTTTTTTTGGTACCGGAGATCGAACTCATGATCTTGCACTTGCCAAGCAAGTGCTTATGCTGCTGAGCTAAATCCCTCGCCCCTATTGGGTCCTTATTGGAAACCTCTTTGCCTCATATTACCCTGCATGCACCCTAAGAGTCTCTTCTAGGTGCCATGGGAACACAAGGTCTGAGAGAAGGAACTAAGTTGTGACTCAAGTCAGCAGCGAGCCCCTATTTTCACTTTCTTAACGTTAGGCCACAATGTCCTTTTCTGTGTTACATTTCTCTAGCACCTGAGTATCACACTCCATCCCTTTCAACACAGGTCTACCTTTTTGAACATTGCCATTAGATTGCACATTGCCACCTGAGAGTGAAGGCTAGAGCTGAGGGCAAGTTTCTCACTGTGAAGCAGGGGCTGGCTGACTGCAGTAGTCTCCTGGGGAGGTACTGGCCTAATGGTGCCTAGAGGGAATACCTGTGGAAGATGTGGTGCTTCTAAGCCACCCCTACCCAGTACTAAACCCTGCCCTGGGCCTGCAGGCCCCACCCATGCTGTACATCCCTGTTGGTTTACTGCAGACTCCAGAACCTTCCTAGTGGTTTCCTGGACAGTTTTTGTCCGCATTTTGTTGCAGGTTGCCCACATATCGTGAAAGTCAACTCTGGCTTGATCACAAGGACCACCCAGCCATCTGGAAAGTGATTCCAAAAGAAGGTTGACCTAGGGTAGGGTTTCAGATGCCTCTTTGTGTGCCTCACAGCCCTACCCCATATCAGTAATTTACAAATTTTGATTGAGGTGTTCTCTTCTGTGGGAGGGTATCTCTGAAGCAGGGTTGGCTCTATGGCCAAACTACATACTAGTGCAGTCATTAGGAAAGGTTCTCGGTGTTGGTTTAATGTTCTGTGGTCTCATTCTTAGAATTTATTTATTTTATCGGTACCGGGATCGAACTCATGACTGCCTGCTTGCAAGGCAGGCACTTATGCCGCTGAACTAAGTAAATCCCCAGCCCCTTAGAATTTATTTTTAAATGAGGGACCTATACCTGACTGACTGACATTGCCCAGAAGCTTTGTAGAGCAGGGTTAGCATCTGGGATGGGAAGGTTTCAGGAAGGTAGGTAGTTTCTTTTGAATAAAGGACAGCTTCCCCAAGGATGGGGTCTCAGGCAATGCAGATTTTATTAAGAAGAATGGGCCTCTGGGTAGACTTAGGAATGTTAAGCCCCATAATGGGGCTTTTTGCTTCGGTGAATAATCTCTTGTGTCTGTGACTTCTGGTTCAGGATTTACCTCCAGGGAGGTGGTATCCTAAAGGATAAGTACATGAGCTGTGGAGGTGTTTTTCCTGGCTTAAACTGGTCACTAGTGATTAAATAAAGCAAGGTATCGAGGGGCAGAGTAAGTATGAATTTTAATTCCAGCATTATTCGTTATAAGATTTTTTTAACTACATTTTTTAAATCTGTAAAGTGAGTAAAAAGAAACCCTTAAAAGAAGCCATTGGCATATTGAGAGTATCACATATGAACTGAAGTTCTAATATTGCATGTGGGACTGTTAGACCGGTGTCGCGAGGAAGACTCCAAGGGCCTCGCTCTCATGTAAAAACAATGGGGTTTTTATTATTCCGTGTACACGGGGTTCTCCAAACAGGTGGAAACGGAGAACCCTGAGTTGGGGCAAGGCTGGTGTTTTTAAGGATGAAAACCGCAAAGCAAGCAAGCATTGTTACAGAAGCCAATCATAGCAGTTAGAGCAGAACAGTTGGTGATTTGTCCATTTGTGATTGGTCAGATCATGAGGGGCGACCAGTGGGTCAGAGTTGATTAACTGTCTTGTTTTGCACAGCTTATTTTTAGGTCACCTAGCTCCTGTGTGGCTTGGTTCTGACATACTTCCCAATCTTGATTAGCATAGTCAGCAGACTTTATCTCTGAGTTTCCTGACATAATTACCTTACTTTAGCACCACAACCTTTCTATTTGTAGAGGGCAACAATGGTTAACATATCAATTGGGTAAGATTTTACAATTCTTTACAGAAGAGAGCATTGATTAACATATCAATCTTTTACCCAGGGGAAAAGGAAGACACACATTTACAGTTACAGGTATTACTATGATATAAACGAAGCTATTTCTGTGAAGAATGTACAATCTAATACAATCTGATGCAATTAACACAATTTGTGACGGGGCTACCGGATAGGGAAGACCCAGGATGTCAGGAGCTAGTACCTCAGGCCTTTGTTTTATGGCCTTTAGGAAGTTAAAACTTAACCTAGTTGGATTTGAAGGGAGAAGGGGAGGGGAAGCAGCAGATGGAACGAGCTTTCTTCGTCTCTTCAGGACATAGTACTCAATGCATTTTATCAGTGATTGTCACTTATGGAACTGTTGCAGAGGTTTCAAACAACAACACTTAAAATGTCTAGAGTGTGTTTTTGAACCTCCATCCTTGACTTTCAGGTTAATCATGTAAC